AATGAACGCAAGATGTGCCGATTTTACATCTCTTTTGACTACCCCTTGGGCCTTTGATGCTAAACCCCCTGGGACTCAAAGAGTTAATTCATTCATTCCTTATCCTCCAATGCCGTTATATATTGTTACAGAGGGCTCACAGACTATTTCTCTATTCCCTTCTATCCTCGGCAATCACTTGGATATCAGCGATATAATTTACGCGAGCACCTTTGGCTTCTCAGATCATCGTTCACCTTCGTGTTTCTCGAGGACATCTTAATTTCTTCAGTAACTTTATTATTTCCCATTCCATATTTAAGAGCCTGTTTGGTGATTCTCTGTTCACCTCTTTTGCGTTGGTTCAGTGAGGTTTCTGAGATTTGGTCCTGTTGGATTCGCACCTCATTAGTGACTCTCTGAGTCAATGGGTGTCATTATTTTTTTTTCATCTGCAGCCATGAATTGAAAGGATTAAAAACAAACATTCTAAAATCTAATTTGGATATAATATACAGTTGAAAAATCTGCAATAGCTGCTTAGTAGTAAATTAAGGTGTATACCATACAAACTATAGACTATACTTTGTTCCTCTTTCACGACCTGAAGTTGAACTTGTATATCCAAATGCCTGGCTCGCTAGCATAGTTGGTTAAAGCTGGCATCCGCTGCGACCAGGTGATAAACTCCTTGTGGTACGGGTTCGGGCCCGGGAGTAGGCAGAAAAGCCACGTTTCTCCCAGAGTTACGGTACTTATCATGGAATCAAGACCGAAGGATTGAGATATCCATAGTACCGTGCCAAAACTCATGGTTTTTGGATACTTAAAAAAAAATGTATACCCAAATGTATGTCTGAGCCCCCTAGGGCATGCTTGTAACCCCAGTCTATGCTTAGAACCCAGTGGACATGCTGGTTACTTCAGAGATTACTTTGAGAATTGACTTGATAACTTATTAGACATACCCATAGATAATTGTCTCCCACATAAAATGTGAGGTGATTATTTTGATTGTTCCAGTAGTACACTGGTTGTACACATGTCATACACTCTCAGACATCCTTTCTTGTCGTGTTCACACTTAATTCCATATTCATGCACCTTTACACATGCTGTTTCTTCTAACATTTTGCTTTGCGTCAGCATTCATTCATATATATCTTCACAATGTCTGCTTTATCCATTATGTTTCTCTCTACATGCAGTAGAGAGACCCCAAGTTTGGCTGGCTGGCATTCCTATGGAAACCAATCAGGACAGAACAGTGGAAGACATGCAATGCACCACAGACTTCATTGAGATATGTGGTCTTCTCATCTGAAGTTTACTGGCAGGAGGAATAAAAGCAAAAAGAAGATCCCATTATATATTTCTTTACCTGTTGCTTTTGTACCCATAAACTGCATTTATTCCCTCCTTTGACACTTCTGAATGTCCTCAGCAGCATACCTATGTGTTCATGTAATGTTGAAGCACTGTTGCCTTGTTATCAACTACCATTTTGAACCTTCTACACTACCTACTGGGAATCAGACACTATATTTCTTCCTGCGTGGGTTCTGAGGCCCTATATTTGGGAGAGAAAGAATAGACCCATTGGCCTTCAATTGAGCATGTCATAGAAGATTAAATGGTTTGACAACACCCATCTAACCTTATTGGCTGGACGACACCCATCTAATTTTATTAGTTGTACTAAGTGGTGTATCCACTGAAGTCGGAATGCCTCTGCCTGAGAAGCGAGGAGCCAACAGTCTGCATAAAATTAAACCTGATTTGTAAAATAGGTGTGCGCGCAAACTGAAGTTCTGTCCAAGAAGGGAATGAAGAACCAGAATTGTTCACCGGAGTTTGCACCGGTGACCACTTAGAAGAGAAGACTATAATTCTTCTAGCAGCTCAGTTTTAAAGTGATTGCCTCCATCTTCATTCTCATGCTTGTAGTTGTAGATTGTTGTTGTTGTTGTTATCGATCCAGCGGCGCATGAGCTTTCGCCCTTTGGCCCAATGCCATGTAGTGGAATTTGCATGTTTTCACAAGCTGTTCTTTTCCTCCGTACAAGGTGTTCCACTTGTCTGGTCTCGGAGGGAGTAGCGTTCTTCTTGTCTCACTGAGTTTTGGGCACTCAAAGAGATGGTGTTCAACAGTTTCGTAGGGGTAGTTATATAGCTGGCACTCTGGGGAGTGTTGTGGCTGTATTCATGCTGTCTGAGTTCTTTTTGCTCTCCCTCCCACTCTTCCTCCTCCTGGGGTGTCTGTTTTCCCTATTTATTTCAAATTTTCCAGTAGCCAATTTTTCGCACATGACAGCCTGGTTTCCCACTGTCTGGCGCGGGCCTTGATAGACGAGGCGACGACCGATCTCGTATGTATTCTTAAATTTTGACATATTCATGGCATTGTGGTGCTGGGGTGTCTGTGGATTACCTACCTCCCCGGGCAGCAGCTAGAAATGCCCTGTACCAGTTCTAAAGGAAATATGGGTTGTGTTTTTCTGCCTTTCCCTTTAACACGTAGCTAAGGTGGGGCTCACAGTGTGCTCATTCCCCGCCACCAGATTGCCTGCAGGTTTCGCTGAGCTCTTCATGTCTCTAAGCATGGCCTAAGCATGAGTAGTTGGGGCAACTGGATCGTCACGTCCTGAGTCCCTGTGCCTTCACGATAGTTTCCGGTATTCAGGGGGGTTAGCATACTTGTTTCCATTCCTAAGACTGTTCAGCACACCTCTGGCTCCTTCCCTCCCACAGGGGGCAGTACGGTGTGGTGCACCGGGTTTATTATCGAGGTTTGCTCCTCTAGATCCATTGTGTTTTGCCTGGGGATTCGCACCCCCAGTTACCGGGACTACCTCGGGGAGGCTGTGACTCTTCGCCACGCACAATGGTCTTGAGGTAAGAGAGGTTTTGCTAGGTCAAGAGGCTGACACCACAATGGACGCTCCTTTCGTGAACAGATATTCACTAGACCTAGGGTGAAGTAAGGGGGGGAACCCACTACCCACAACACCAACACTTCTTACCCCCTGCCTCTCGAGGCTCAGTCCCGTAGTTGTAGATAAAATAGCATGTACAGTGGCGCTAACACAAACCAAAGTAAACAGTGGGGTTTGCTTTGGGGAAGGGGGCTTAGACTTTTTTAAATATCTCTAGATGCTTGAGCAATAGGCTCAAGGGGCCTGAGTCTTTTTGTAATAAAAAAAAATCCATAATAATGTGTTAAAAGACAAATAAATATAATAATATATTAAAAATAATACAAAATGTATCAACAAATAGTTAAATAGACAACATCTTTACATGATTTTTGAAATTCTTAGCGCTCCCCCTTTCCTTTACAAATTGTCTGGGGGGGGTGGATGGGTTGGGTTAGGTGTTTGGGGGGGGGGGGGTGGCTCTTTACCGCAGGTGTTTTTGTGGGTGCAGGGGTGGTCTACATGTGATTGAGCCCTGAATTTTCCGGTGACATTGCTGTCACATGCTCATCGAGTATGCCTGTTGCAAATTTCATTTCATCACTTAACATGCTCGAAATATGTGGACCATCATTATCTTAGTTCTCTCATCAGCTTTAGTTTTCATTTACTTTTCCAGGCCTGCATCCACTCCTTTTTTTTTCTGTCCATCTGTGTCAGTGGTTCTCAGCCTTCGCAGTGCCGCGGCCCTTTAATAAAGTTTTCCTTATGTTGTGGTGACTCCACAATCAAAAATATACTTCCGTTGCTACTTCATAACTTTATTAAATATGTGTCTTGGGCGAACCCTGTGAAAGGGTGGTTCGACCCCAAAGGGGTCCCGACCCACAGGTTTAGAACCGCTGATCTTTGTCTTTACTGTACATTTTTCCTTAACAACCACATCTCTAGTGTGGTGAGACATTTCTTGGCTTGTCTGTTTATTGGCTGGAATTTAACTTATGGCGTTTGATAGGTGTTGTTAAACCAGTTGAGTTGGATGCATGTTGTCAAATCAGGGATGATGGGTTGTTGTTGTCAAATCAATAAAATTTGATGGTTGTTGTCAAACCAAGGGTGTCAGATGGGTGTTGTCAAACCAATAAAGTTAGATAGTTGTTGTCAAACCAAGGGTGTTGGATGGGTATGTCAAATCAGTGATGTTGGATTGGTTTTGTTGAGTTAATCAAGCTAAATAGGTATTGTCAAACCAATAAAGTTGGATGGTTGTTGTCAAACCAGTGATTTAGGATGGGAGTTGTTGAACTAGTGATGTTGGATGGATCTTATGAAACTAATGAAGTAGAATCGTTGTTGATAAACCAATATTAGGTGAGTATTATACCAGTGAAGCTGAATGGATGTTGTTAAAATAGCATTGGATGATTGTTTTCACATCAGTTAAGTTGAATGAATATTGATAAATCAATATTGGATGAGTTTTTTCAAAACAGTGAAGTTTGATGGGTGCTGTCAGACCAATGAAGTTGAATGGCAGTTGTCAAAGCAGTGAAATTGTATGGCTGTTGTCAAACCAGTGAAGTTAGATAGGTGCTTTCATATCAGTAAAGTTGTATGGCAGTCATCAAACCAGTGAAGTTAGATAGGTTCCGTCGGATCAGTTAAGTTAAATGGCTGTTATCAAACCAGTGAAGTTAGATAGGTTCTGTCAGGTCAGTAAAGTTGAACGGCAGTCATCAAACCAGTGAAACTAGATAGGTTCTGTCAGGTCAGTGCAGTTGAATGACTGTTTTCAGACAAATGAAGCTTAATGAGTGTTGTCAGATAAGTAATGTTGAATGAATATTTTGTAACAAACAAATCAGTGATGTTAAATGAGTATTTCGTGGCTAACATTTGGACTTTACTGTTCTTTCCTTTCAGGTTTTATGAAAATCCTTGCTCGGTGGGTTTAGAATCAGCAGTATTTGCAAGAAATAATAAACATTTTAAAGTGAACCTTAAATCAGCTCTTTGCCCAAAACAGTAATTTGATTTCCCCTGGCATCAAGAAATTCTTCAGATTGGCATCTGTGTGACGACTGTGGTCATTCCTGGCTGAAACGTATGGCTGACATTCTAAAAGATCTTGGTGGGGCATTGAACAGCATTTACTACTCATTACCACAGCTGTTGCCACAGCCCAAAGAGATTGAGAAGGTGATTGTCAAAGAAGTAGCAATGTTTAGAATACCCCAAGGTTCTAGGACGTTCATCCGTATTGCAGGGTTGTCAGGGGCTCTTGCTGTGGCCCTCGGAGCTTATGGTTCACATGGTATGTAGTGTCTGTGTCAGAGTTGATTTTGCTGTTGTAAAAAATCCTTTTTTTCTTGTGTTTGTTCTTACAGTGGCTCTCGGAGCTTATGGCTCACATGGTATGTATTGTATAAGGTAAAGGTCCCTTTTCAACAACTTTTAGGCATAAAGGGCTAGACCTATATTTTTATAGACCCATTGGCACAAGATTGGTGATGTAATCAGCATCACGCCAGCCTCCTTTACTTCCTGGGACTGCACCTGATACCCACTCGAGGCTGGGTCAACCTGAGAGTCAAGGTTATTTAAAGAAAAAAAAAAAAAAGTTTGGCTCCACCAGGGAGCACTTCCCAACAACACGCGAGCATCTAGGCGCTACGCCACAGTGACTTCCGGTATGTAATGTCGTCATAAAGAATCCTTTTTTTCTGGTCTTTGTTCTTGCAGTGGCCCTCAGAGCTTGTTGTTTACGTGGTATGTACTGTCTCTATCAGAGTTGATTTTGCTATCATAAAGAATTTTATTTTTCTATGCTTGTTCTGGCACCCCATTTTTGTTTAGAACAGAATAAGTCCACTGCCATCTAAAAATGAGCATAAAAGGCTATTAATTAAGAACTTTAAAAGGTGCAGATACTGCAGCCCAGCTGTGTGCCAGCTATCTTTTATCGGTGAGCTCAGAAAAAGAAGAAGAAAAAAATATTGTTTCTCAACTGAGATGTATTGCACTTTTTAACTCTCCTGTCCTGTTATGCAGAATCTAGATTTGTTGTGTTTGGATGGCATGATGACTTTGAGCAGTCGTCACTATGCAGATGTAACAACTTTGGTACTGGTTGCAGCTGCATAACTTGTACAGGTGTGGGTAGAATTATATTTAAAAGAAAAAAATATTCGGAGTAAAGAAATTTATTCTTGTTTTTTCATCATAATTGCATCATAAAATAAAGTGGACGTGGCTGTGTCAGCAAAACCATAATTTTTTTTTGGTCAAAGGGAGTTAATTCTTTCCTCCGTTATTTAGTGATTAAATCCCTTACTAGACTGCAGAATTTTTGCGTTTCAAAATTACAAATTATATTTATGTGTAATTTTTTTTTTTTTTAGTGACTTGATGGATGAGAAAGCGCAACTGCTAACAGGCTTGCCAGTCTGCTCAGTGGATGTTTGTAAATCTGATCTAGACTTGACATTTTTTTCTGCTGCTTCTCCATCAGTCTAACTAGTGCAGTGACAGTATACAGTAGGTAAATGTAAAATGGAAGTGAATCATGGACAGTTAGAAGATTAGTGAAACATTCTTTGGAAGCTGCAGAGATGTGGTTTTATAGACGGATGATGAGAATACCCTGGACAGATAAAAAGAGTACTAAAGTCTTGAAGAAAGAAACTGACTCACAAAGAGAACTGATTGCCCACATCAAAAAGAGACAATCTACATTCTGTGTTCATTTGATGAGAATGACAAAACTTGAGTTCATCATGACAGCAGGAAAGTTGGAGGGGAGGTGAGGCAGGGGGAGACCAAGAGAAAAGATGCTGGACTTTTTGACATCATGGTATGGCAGATCAACTGTGTCAAAGTTGATTGAAAGCACTGGAGACAAAATCTTTTCCCCCTGTGGGTGTCCAAATGAGGGCTTGGTAAGGAAGTCTGATTTATCCATTCTAAGGCATGATTGTGGATAGTCATGATTACCAACAGAAAAAGCAAATTTTTTATCGAGAAGATAATGAAAAAGTAGAACAAGAAAAGAAGAAGAAGCAGAAGAAGAAGGGAATGAAAAGAAAGTCATGGAATAGAATGAGTTAAGCTACAATTACCACAGGTTGAAAGAGTTAGATAAGTGGTCCTGTGTCATTTATTATTGTATCATTGTGGAGTTTCAGTTTTCTTCACGTTTCTGTTTGTTGTTTTTCCTTCAGATAGAACATGTAAAATATTCCTACATTGTTTGCTAGTAATTTTTCAAGGTTGGGTTAAGTCCATAGCTGCATTGGTAACCAGAAATCTTTCCACTGCTGGGGGTTGAACACCAGCCTTTGTGTTGGCAAGTATGGGCTCTCTTCGCCATGCAACTACATCATTAAATCACCTGTGTTTTTCTTCTTTGCAGTGTTCCGCCAGAAGGAAATAGATGAAAGACTGAAAGATGTAAGTATCTAATGAATTCTGTGTTATCTAACTCTCTGAGCCCTAAACAACGCATCAAATGTGAATCACCCTATTTGCTGAATCCTCTCCTTAGCTTACTGTGCTGTCTTATTTTTCTATTTTTCCTAAACAAACTAAAACAAAAAAAAAATTTTTTACTTTATCTGCGGCCACTACTACTATTATATTGCACTTAGAATATAATTCACTGAACAATTTTAATCATGAATATTTCTTTACCGGCAACTTCTGTCACATTTTCTTTTTGTGCTGAAAGAGTTGAATACCTGGTAGACATTAAATTTTCTTTTTGACTGCCTTGCGAACTGTGTACTACTTTTGAATATGTTATGGATTTTATATTATTCGTGCTACAAGGTAAACAAATTAACAATATCATGCCTGCTGAGCCAAAGTTTCGGGGTTGGGGGGGGGGGGGGGGGGGGGGGGGGGGGGGGGGGACATATAGATCCAACAGTTTTAGTTCACTGATTCCATTAACCAAACCATGCATGTCTTAAGGCGTCACACTAAGACAGTTGGCTTGCGATTGGTGATCAGAACTTTAGAACCAAATCCAAACAATTATGAATAAAAAAACTGCAAAGGGCTTACTGGTATGTGTTAGGGTGAGGGTCTAGGCTTCATTGGAAAAGGGGGTGGGGTGAGAGGTACAAACAAAATAGGCGGTTTTCTTCTTCTTCTTAGCATTCACTGTCTGTAAACCCCGGCAGACATTCTGCTTGTTTGTCCACTTCCAGATTTGGTCTTGTTCCAGAATTGAGTTTTGCATGCACAGTCATTTTAAAAATCTGGCTTTTTTGAAGGCAGACTGTTGGTTCCTTGCCTTTCATGCAAATGCACTCTGACTTTGAGGAAAACTCCTCTAATTATTAGCCTTTTATGACATGCAGTACAAATGTTAAGCTGTGCTGGTACACCAGGACCAGGAGTCAGACTGTTCTAGATCTCTCCGTGGCCATTCTAGAAATGGGTTTACTACCACGAGCCTGACCTGCTTAGTTAGGCTCGACACATATCCTTCAGAGTTGGAGCTCTTCTGCTGTAGAGATAAAGAACCAACATTGCATATGGATTAAGCAGATATGTAAAAATGTATGTGCATACAACACTCATTTTCTAGAACAAGGCGAAATCAGGAGGCCAAACAGGGTATTTAGCATCTATCTGCACTTCTGCGATGCCTAAGAACAATACTTGGTATTAGGTGGCAGGACAAAATCACAAACACAGGTACTGGAAAGAGCAGGTACTACAAGTCTTTTCCATGCTTAGTCTATGAAGGATCATGTGGCTGGATCACACCTGGAGAATGGAGGATGGCAGAGTCCCAAAGGACAACTTTTTGTGTGAATTAAAGGCACGTAGAAAATGTCGAAGCTGACCTTTACTACGGTATAAATGGGACATGAATGACACAGGTATTGAGGTGGACTCATGGGAACAAAATGCCATGGGCCATGTTGTGTGGAAAGGGCGTATCAGAAAGGGAAAGAGAGTGAAGGAAGAAATTATTGCAGAAAGGATGAGAGCTGAGCGTTTGAAAAGAAACAGATTAAACACAAATGAGGTTCTATAAGCCTATGCTATCATTGTGGAAGAATTTTCTTGAATTGGGCGGGTCTTGCTAGTCACACTCGCCATCGCCATGGGCTGTGAGTCCCATGCCTTCTCAAAGCTCAATATAACACTCGTCTGGAAAGACGGAAAGGTGCCAATCAATCAAACACCTCTCTTTGGTCACTCTAGATACAGGTTCCCTACCAGGAGTACGGCCACCTTTGATAGGATCGAAATGTCTTGGATGCAGCACTCAAGTCCTGGAACAAGGCAAAAGAATCCAAGGGTTGAATAAGAAGGTATCTGGGATTTGCCCTGTAGGTATGCCATGCGGGATGAGATTCTAATAGCCTCTGTGGTGGTTAAACCTTCTGGTACCAGCCTCGAGGGGGAAGGCAGGCAGGTAGAGATACATTCTTGTTCTCGCTGAATTCACCGGATGCATTTTTCTTTATTTTCCCCCCAGACATTTGAAATAGCCAATAAATATCATCTTATTCACACCTTGGCTCTGCTGGCGGTACCTTTTGCTAAGAAACCTGTTTTGGTAGGTATATTTTATTATATATTCACATTTATATTTAAATAATGTAGAAAATATTATATAAAATTTTATATAATATCAAATATTTTAGGTATTTTTAGTAAGTGTTTTTACGAAAACAAACAACAAATAATTAGGTCAAAAAGAAAAATAAGCGAAATAGTCTGATCACAACATAACACACACACTTTTAAAAAACCAACACTGGAAAGAAAGGGAAATATATAGGTAGGTGAATAAAAGATGGACAGTGATACAAGTGACAAAATTACATCACAAGATGAATGAACAACACACTGAGATAGTGTATCATCGGGGCAAAGACTGAGAGTGTTGGGCAACGGGCCAATCTTTATGGTCAAATGTGTGAGAATGGATAAATGTGATCTCATGGCAGATTTTTTCATTACAATTACTTTGAACATTTGGTATCTGCAGTAAAGTTTCAGATATTTTTTCATTACAGTTACTTGAAACATTTGGTATCTGCCATAAAGTTCCAGATATTTTTTCATTACAGTTACTTTGAACATTCGGTATCTGAGGTAAAGTTTAAGATATTTTTCATTACAGTTACTGTGAACATTTGGTATCTGCAGTAACATTTCATATATTTTTCATTACAGTTACTTGGATCATTTGGTATCTGCCATAAAGTTCCAGATATTTTTCATTACAGTTCCAGTGAACATTTGGTATCTGCCATAAAGTTCCAGATATTTTTCATTACAGTTCCAGTGAACATTTGGTATCTGCCATAAAGTTCCAGATATTTTTCATTACAGTTCCAGTGAACATTTGGTATCTGCCATAAAGTTTCAGATATTTTTCATTACAGTTTCAGTGAACATTTGGTATCTGAGGTAAAGTTTCAGATATTTTTCATTACAGTTCCTGTGAACATTCGGTATCATGTAGCGGCTAGACCCTAGGCTGCGGATCTGAAGATCGTTGGTTCAGGTCTTGACGGTGCCAGAATATTTTTCAAAAATCACCTTGGCTCCCAGGTCAGCCCAGCCTTAAATAGGCATAGATAAAGTCGTGGGAAGTAAAGTTGGCTTGCGTGATATTGCCAGGTCACCCGAGTGCCGAGTGGTCTATAAAATATAGGTCCTACCCTTTATGTACAATATGCCTGAAGATGTAGAAAAGGGTCCATTACTGTGGTTCCTTAACTTCTCAGACTCTGAGCTGTTACCGTCATTGTCATCATGTGCCCTGCCAAGCTGTTAACTTATCTGCAATAATTGTCACCTTTATTACTAGTCCTTCCCTGAGTTTCCTCCTTCATGCAACACAGTTCAAGGCCCACTAATCTATCTCAGTACCTGTATCAGCCATGTCCCTCTTGCTTTTTTTTTTGTAGCAGGGGCTGACTTCAGCATCTTCTACCCTTCCGTAATTTACAACAGAGTCTGAGGCCCACTAATCTATCTCAGTATCTGTATTATTTATGGTCCACTAATCTATCTCAGTACCTGTATTATTCATGGTCCTCTTGCTCACATCTTTATATTGTAGCAGGGGCTGACTTCAGCATCTTTTACCCCTCTGTAATTCACCACAGAGGATGCTCTTATTCTCTCCTCCAGGTGTCAACTAGCCAAGTTGACATTGAGATTGCTAAAAACTGAGAAAACATTGATGAAGCAAGAACTCTTAATGTTGATAATAACTAAACATTGATCTAATTCCAGACTGGCACACTGATGACTGTTGGACTGTCCCTGTTCTGCGGAAGCTGTTACTATCACGCACTCACAGCCAACACTGTAATCAGAAAGGTCACACCGTATGGAGGCTTCCTTCTGATTTTTGCCTGGGCCTCCTTTGTTCTCTAACGCTGACATTATGTCAAGAAATTGTGTATGAAGCTGTGTGGGTTTATTTTACTGTTATTTACATGTATTAGTTTTCTTATGTGTCTTGTCTTCATAACTGTGTGAGGGTGTGTCAAGAAGTATCTAGACTTCAATTATATTAATATTTTTGTTGACTACAATGTTTTATCAGTGCTTTCCAGTCAAGTGTGAAAATGTTACATCAGGGCAGTATTGGAACACTGTCAAGAAAACAGGGTAGTGATGGAACACTGTTAAGAAAACAGGGTAGTGTTGGAACACTGTCAAGAAAACAGCACAGTGTTGGAACACTGTCAAGAAAACAGCACAGTGATGGAACACTGTTAAGAAAACAGCACAGTGTTGGAACACTGTCAAGAAAACAGCACAGTGATGGAACACTGTTAAGAAAACAGCACAGTGTTGGGACACTGTCAAGAAAACAGCACAGTGTTGGAACACTGTCAAGAAAACAGCACAGTGTTGGGACACTGTCAAGAAAGCAGGGCAGTAATGGAACACTGTCAAGAAGACAGAACAGTATTGAAACACTGTCAAGAAAGCAGCACAGTATTGAAACACTGTCAAGAAAACAGCACAGTGTTGGAACACTGTCAAGAAAGCAGCACAGTGTTGGAACACTGTCAAGAAAGCAGGGCAGTATTGGAATACTGTCAAGAAAACACGGCAGAATTGGAGTGCTATCATGATAAAAAAGGTCAAACAATCAGCAGAGCTCGTTACTGTGAAATGCTGACTGAAGAGCTGCAGTCTAAACTATGAATTAGGGAGAGATATCAAACCGAATGAAAAGTATATCAGCGAGCTTCACAATATAATAAACACAAACAAAACTTAAACTTTGTAGCTATGGAGCTTTTTTTCAGCACATACATAAATTAGACAATACTACACAAATGCACAGTGTCACTTATCTTCGTATCTCGAGGCAGCCAGGTCGATGCCTAGCCAATAGTATTGCGAGGCACGTTGGACCTAGTATCACATAAACTATGGATTAAACACAGAGGGCTGTTGTCCACGGGCATTGTGATCTTGCTTGACATTGCACATTTGCACATCTCTGGTCACACAGTTTACATTCTCCAAAAACTGTTTTGTGGAGTTAAACCATCTTCCATATACTACAAATTGTGTTCCATTGGATTTTTACATGTTTGGTCCAATTTCAGCAGCTCTTCAGGGTTGAAGCTTCAATTCTGATGAAGAATTAAATACAGCAGCAAACCCTTGCATTGTAGTTCATCCTAAAACATTTTTTCAGTAGCAAAATAAAAAAAAAAAATTTCTGGCAAAGGACAAAAATGATGTCTTTGTCGTTTCTAAAAGATTATTGAAATAAAAACTGAAAGAGAAATCATAAATGCAGTTGCCATTTCAACCTTGTGCCGTCAGACTAGGACACTGACTAAACAACATGAAGGAAAACTGACCCACCAGCGAAATGAGATATTTTAGAAAGAGAAAGCCTGTGAGCTAAACTAGCAGTGTAAGAAACAAAGAAATTACAAGAACTATAGGTACAATAGCTGAGATTAAATTCATTGAAAAGCAAAGACAGGAGTTTTTGGCCATTTAATTTGAATGAATCTACGTTTCTAGAAATGAGGGCATAAGAAAAAATGAAAGTAGAAACACCAAAATGAAAGTAGAAACACCAAAATGAAAGTAGAAACACCAAAATGAAAGTAGAAACACCAAGAGGTAGGGGATGACCAGGAAGATGGATTGAACGACTCACTGATACCTTGAGGGTCCACATCATCTTAGCACACCAGGCAACCGAGCACGCCCTAGCTCGGAAACTGTTTGTCTGTAAACCTGTGGCGCGTCAAGCAATTTTGACATTGAGTGCATTTGTATTTGTAATAATCTGTTATATTGGTTTTTTTTCAGTTTAATTATAAATAAAATAATAAAATATTTTAAAAACTAATTATAAAACATAAAGGAGAGGACACTGTTTTTTTTTTTTTTTTCATAATCATTTTGTGTATCTGCGGTTAAAAATCTAAATAATTTGTTAACACAGGCATTTATAGATTAAGAACAGATTCTGACCACAACGGATCTCCATAATATCTGTTTCCTTGTTGCCAATCTATTTATTGGACAATCTATTTATGGGTCTCCTCCTTTTATTTAACCACATTTTGTTTTGTTGAAAGAAGAGTGTGTGTGTGTGGGGGGGGGGGGGGTAAGTCTTGCTATACACTCAGTTGGAGCATGAGGGTCTAGGCGCTCGCCTGCGGATCGGAAGGTGTGGGTTTGGTTCCTGGCAGGGGTCGGATTTTTTTTCTTCTTCAAAAATGACCTTTGCTTCCAGGTCAACCTAGCCTTGAGTGGATACCAGGTACAGTCCTGGGAAGTAAAGGCGGCCAGTGTGGTGCTGACCATATCACTCACAGTATCCCGTTTGGTCTATATAATATAGGTCGAGCCCTATATACTCAATATGCCTGAAAGGCTTGGAAAAGGGTCCTGTACCTTTTTTTTTTTACATACCAGTAAATACTTGACCAGCTGGAGATAGAAAGCTGATCCCTGGGATGAGCTGAAGTTGGAGATGTCTATACCAATGAACCTCAGGGATCGACAATTCTGAAGAAATTTACACACATTGGATTTAGTTCCACGTTCGTCTCCCCAAACAAACTAGGCCACGTTCCATTGATAACTCTTTTGGACTGGTCTGCTGCCAGGGGGTTGTGTCGCGATGTTGTTTGCTTTGTCTTGTCTTGCTTTTATGTTTTTCTTCCGAGAAAGCCTGTGACAGAGGTTGCAGCACTCTCTAGCGGGGAGTTGTGTGTTAGACCCAGTTTCTAAATGTTTTTGTAGTGTTGAAAACGCTGGCGTGCTGAAATATACAACACGCGATTTCAACTGCACTGCTGAACATCCCCGTAGCAGTGTGCGAAGGTCAGGTGGCTCAAGGTCGATAAATCAGAATTAAGCTAGTGTGCATATAGGCGTCTCCCTGAAAGGGGGGGGGGGGGGATTTCGTGAAATTACCCACATTTGTGCGTGCACACATAGAGATTAGGCTAACTTTTTTTATATGGTCCGTAGAAAAACGCCATCCATCGAACAAAAATATCTGTGAGTTTGCAAAACTGTAATGCCGCCCTGTTAGCAGATGACAAGTAACCCACCATTTTGATTAGCTAGTGATCAGATTCAACATCTTATTCATCGGCCATCATCCTCACAGTCAGACATCTGTCTTCACATATAGCTTCTCTGACTTTATGAATTAATCGAGTAACAGAAAGTATTGTGAACGGCACTCATAGAAAGAAGTAGAAAGATAAAAGAACACACTAGACAACATAAAAATCGAAAGCTATAGTTACCGTGCCGGGAATTGAACCTGTCACCTCCAGACGGCGTCTGCGCCTCGCCATGAATACAAGTGCACTAAGATACACGGTCAACTCGGCACCCCAAAAAAAAGGTGCCTCATTGGCCATGTCTATCGTACAGCTTGAAATCCACGACTATGGAATACGGACAGAATTCATTTCAACCCATTGAAATGGCACCATAGGTTACAGAAATTTATATTAACGAGGCAAATGTCAAATAACAATCACAGCAACAATTTACGTACACAGTAGACCTTATTGCCTTGTCTAGAATACACAAACATTTAAGAAAGGTATTTGATTGGTAGGTTCCGGTGTGTATACGTCTCTGACTTTAGCAATGAGTTTAACTGTAGGAAGAGAAACTGTCCTGGCCTAGCCTCATCTTCAGTCATTTCTTTACCAGTTTTAAACCGTTACCTCATGAATGATGCTTTTGTGTGGGGGATGGGGGTGTATATATTGTTCTTTTTTTTCGAAGTGCCATCTCGGCAACGGAGGTTGGCTGCAGTGGATTTGGACTCCTATGTCTATCTGTGAATAAGTAGGGGACTGCGTGGTCTCGAGACATGGTTTCTGCCTCGAGTGCTTGAAGTTCCGGGTTCAATCCCCAGTGAGGGATGGGATTTTTTCACGTGGATCGGACTTCTGGTAATTCTCCATGGTTTCTGTGTAGTGAGATCGGATGATCGTGTGCATTGTTGCGCACTTAAAAAAAATCTCTTGTCAATTGGAAATCGGAAAAAGTAGCATAACGGCACTGCCCGGGCAAAATTTGGAGTTAGAAATCTTCCCAAAGTATTTCAGGATCCTCGCCGGTGCTACAGAGCCTGAGCACTGTTATGAGCTTCGGACTCAGACTTGAGTTAGAAGAAGAACGGAGCACTTATGGGTTTATACCCGTGTGCCATGATGTCGATCTGTTGTTCAAACCTCTGTGAATAAGTTAAAAGTCTTTGTGAATGTTACGTGCTGATTGCCCTAGTTCTCTCCCATAATGCTACTCTGTAACCTCTCACTGAATGTCACAAGAATGGTATTTTATTTTCATGAAAGAATTCTGGGTAAGTGAAATTCAACCCTCCCAGGACCGCACAACGAGCGATTAAACACCCGGTGACAACAACATGCCACCATTCAGATAAGAATGACCTTGCGCCAAGGTTGCCAGATAAAAAGCGAGACTATCACCTAAAATATGCCAGAAAATGCCTAACAAAGTGTAACATTGTACTCACTTCACATCAAAAGCTCTAGATTAAATTCGTCACTGTCATTTTCACTGGAAATAGTGGAAGATAGAGCGTAAACCTTTTCGGGTGTAACTCATCTATAATGATGATATATTTCTTGTTTCGCAAATCACCAATAAGGTCATCCTTAAGTGCAGGCGATATAATATTTTTTTTATTAGGCATGAATATTTAGTTATATGCAACTGCATGTGCTCCAGTGTACTCCCCCGACCATGCGCTCTCGTGATTTCACTTAGACGATCAATTGTGCGTATTGCACAATGGCAGGTCATGCCTACAGCAAGTTGCAACTCTGCTGCTTTAACTTTATCATGACCTTGCCTAGGAGTTATTATAAGCTGTGACGGGCTTTTTGACG